ATTTGATCTACCTACCCTGTACAATGATATTTTCCATGAAAACTTAAAGGGGATAAGTATGCAGAATCAGTGAGACGAAGCAACGCACAACAGAACGTAATGAACAGAGATTGTAAACTCAGTTAACAACGACAACCAAAAAGTACAAAGGCAACAAAGCAATGAGATTTTTGAATGTCCGGAGTGCGGATGAGATATAACATCACGTATAGCCGGGTCCACATATGTAGCACTCTATTGTATCAGGATCATGTATCACGTATCAAGAGCTTGTATCGTAAGTATGGACGTTTATTTGGGCTGTGTCGACTGAATATGCATATCGTGCCAAAGTAAGCGTCCATACTTATAAAATTCATACGTACCAGCGTACAAGCGTGCGTATCATTGTATATGGACGGTACAACAAATCACCTTGTATCGTCGTATCATGTTCATCAATTCTTCTCAGCGAACCCTCAATGCCCCTTTGATGATCGGAGAAAAACCGCCTCAAGACGGGTCACGGCGTATCAAGTCAATTGTATCGTTATACTGTATCAAAACACGTCCAAATGACAGATCGTGATACGTGTATCCGATACGCAGTGTTAAGATACGCGCCAAAATTCGGATTGGCATGTATCAGATACGGTATCACAAAGGTGTACCATATGATCGCGTTAATTCGGCGTCCAAACTAGCGATCATGAAACATGTTGGTGCAACGCGACGGAGATATGATACACGAATATGCTACATATGTGGACCCGGCTTATCAGGATTTTCAGTCACAGAAAGACTCGTGAAAGGAAACGCCTTGCGTAACCATCTTCTCAAGAGTGTTAAATACTCGTCAGCGAGTAATGGCAGTAGTAGTAGCTTTACTTTCATGGCTAGGCGTTAAAATGACTTTTTTATATTGTCAATCATGTCGCAAAAATTAACATTTTTGTGACGTTTGGAAAAAAAAACAAATTTAAGTTTCTGCAATGAGCACGACAAAAATATGAAATTTTATGACAGGAAGGGTAATCAGACTTAAAAATATTGCTAATCTATAATTACTTTCAAGTATTATATCATTGGTTATTTTGATACCCAATATATGCTTATTAGCTCTGTAGACCTTGTAATTTACCTAGAATTTTTGTAAAAAGGTCGGCGAGTAGTAAGAATGGTAGAAAATCCGAAAATTTTTATTAATGTTTATATTGATGACTATAGGAATATTCGAACTTTTTCAAGGTGCATATTTACGCAGAATATTATTGTACGTATTTATGCGTATTAATCAGTAATAAAAATAAGTTTTTGTTAATGTTCTCATTGTTTCGAACAATTTTTAAGAGGTTTCTAATTTAATATTACTTATATCTGTCTTTTTTTCAATGTTTTACCTTGCTTTTGATAACCTTACTTCAAACAACTAATTTCACCTTAGAATTTATTATATGCTTTAAAATACCAATATGAAATTAATTTAAAAATAGCATTTGATCAAAAATTATTACTTTTTAAAAACCATTATTAGCCGATCATACCAATAGGTATGGTAGGCTATTAAGATCGGCAAAAAACGTTTTTTTAATTTCACTCAAAATGAGTTATTTGGGTCATAAATGACCTAAATACAAAATATTTTTATGGTGTCTGTCTGTCTGTCCGTCTGTCCGTCTGTCCGTCTGTAACAGGATAACTCAAAAACCGCTAAACCGATTTTAACCAAATTTGGCACAAAAATACTGTGGCACCCGAGAATCTGGCTATTAGTTTTTGGTGGCGGAGGGGGGGTTGGTAAGGGGGTATGGGAGGGGGTTAAAAATTTTAAAAAATCGTAACTCCAAAATTACAGTAGCTAGCGAAACGCGGTTTTCAATTTAAGATTCGGAATAATATTTAAATCTTTGTAAAACTATTTAAATCTTTGTAAAAGAGTATAGCAACTGGCGATTAGATATTTTTTTGTTTCATAAAATGAAGGAGGGTTTTTCCCAGTGCAGTGAATACATTAGCATGAGTTGTAAACGAACTCGTTGCCTCACTTCAACTTAATAGAAAGTGATGTTTATTAGCTATCATTAAAAATTACCTGGCTTTTTTATATCTTTACACTAATGTATCTATTATGCAGTTTCATTCATTATTGTTGTGTAGTAAAAAAGTACAAAACTTGAAGTAATCTGATTTTAACACGACAGAGAGTAAAAAACCGTCTTCAATTAATATGCTAGAAAACTTCTAGAATTTTAAAATAGGAGATATTTATAGATATATAGATAGAAATTTATAAACACCTAAAGATCATATATCTTCTACAATATTACTCTGTTGTCCATACTTAAATCATATAGTATTGTTTATATATTTGGTTTGTTTCATAAATGTTTGTTTTGGACTTATAACTTATACACACATCAACACTGAATACATATGTTGGTCGCTTATGTTATTTTTCGTCATGCTTTGTTTTCATTTCCTTGACCTGATAAAATAATTGTACTAATAATGCGAACTATAATTTTTGCGATTCGTATTATAGGAATGTATTCAACAAAAATTGCAACTAAATATTATGCATTATAAAGGGCGAGTCTTAAATAAGTGCACATATTTTTACAGGGCTGGTAGATCTCGATGAAAGAAACATAATTCATACATTACATATTATGTATTATAAACATACACTTCTACATTAAAATATTGAAATGGTATGTCTGAATAATACCAAAAAAGCAAATATTTGTTACTCGATTATTTTAAAATTAATAAACGCATAATTTACCAATATTCAATTATTGTTAATTAATTTAAACGAATTAACTACGTAACACTGTAATTCTATATTAAAAGAAACGTGTTCTATATATAAAACATCTTTGATATCATTAATTCTATTCAGAATTAAATATAGACTGATATAAATCCAGTTTTTACTAAATAAATTGCTAATTCCAAGTTTAATTAAAAAATGCATTTCACTGATCCCAAATTCCATTTATAGAATCACTTTTGCTTACATAAATACACTCTTTTACTTCCTTTTGAACAAGATTGCAGTTCTCCTGATAATTATCTATAACGCTATCGTACTCTTAATGATCTAAATTATTTAAATTGAATTTATACAATAATTGAACGATTCCATTCAGACTAATCAACAATATTATGTAACGTTTTTGTTAATAAACTTGTTAAAAGTAAGTTTATTATTTTATTTCTTACATTTAATACACTTATTTCTCGATTTTATGAGTCTAGTTTTAGTGTAATATTTTTTTCAATTCATTTCATTATATATTTTATTTTTTATTATTAAACCGTAAGAACTTTATAATTTTTAACTGTGTCTTTAATAAAATATTTCTTTTACCTGATTTCTATATCTGCTTATAATAGGAGATTAAAAAAAAACAAGAGGAAGTGAAATTACAGATATTTTGCTTTATAAACATGCTAAGTCAACATTTTGTGACATTAGAAGAAAGACAATAATTATACTGGTAAACCACAATTTGAAATAAACTTTCTGTAAAACATACAGAAATAATTTTTTAACTTTTAAGCTTGTTTGACTTTCTGATAAGATGGCTATGCTATATCTTGTTTTCGGTAGTTTCTATCTTCCTATATTCCTAAAGTTCCTATTTCAAATTATACTGACAATTCTAAAATGTTTTTAATAAGGCGGTTTGATTTTTATAAAACTGCGGTTTCTATAAAACGACGGTCGCTGTAATTGAAAGTAGTCACCGATGAAGATTTAGGTCAAATTAACAAACTAAAGAAAGTCATTTATTTAAAATGTTATTTACGCTCTCTTGAAGACACATAAGTCATTTCTATTATCCATTTATCGCGTTTACATGAACACAGCAACAACGGCTTAATTTACTTTACACTACCTGTTCAACCATTTGTGTCAAATATTACTATTGTGAATAAATTGGCAAATAATTAAAATATCTGTTTTTTAATTTTTTTAATATTGTTTTTTTTTTATAAAAATAATTGGTTTATTTCCTTATGGTATTTGATTTTTATTAACTGTATTAAATGACATTCAAGACGGATACAATATGATGAAGAAATATTTTGATCAATAGTACTTTGAATAATGATGTTCCCTCAAGAGTTGTATGAGTAGTGTCTTTTTAGTTGGGTCCATTGTTGGCTATGCGGGCCTAATTTATCCCTGCTAATTTCCTAATATCATAGTCTTTTCTCAGGTTCGTTTTTCTTCTAGGTCTCTTAATTCCTCGTGGGCACCATCAGTGGCGGACTGGGGGGGGGGGAGGGGCGGTCCGCCCCTGGCCCCGTCTTTTAGGGGGCCTCTAAATCTTAGTAATTTTTTTTTAATCAACTGGCAAACAAGGCCAATATGTGTTCAGTAGTTAGGAAGCAGTTTGTACGTGGACTATGCAAACCATACGTATACGCCAACTATAATAAACAGTATAAATGGATGCAGATATTTACTTAATTATCAATTATCAGGCTCCAGTAGTTGTGATTGGCATTTTCTATTTAGGAAATTAAATAAAGGGATAATTTTCTTTGTTTAAAATATCGAATAATTATTATTTTTTATATATTTTGAGACTGAATTTATTTATTTTAGCTTACTTTATTAAGTTATTTTTCAATGGTTTCATTATTTATTTTTACTGAATAAATATTTTAAATTACATCCAATGCACAGCATAACTTGTATTCTAGCTTCTTTAACCGATGATGAGCAGTGAAGTCTTTAGTGTAACGGGGGCCACGGGCCTAAGACAGAGAAGGGGCCCCTCGGATCTTGGAGGACTTACAAAATCGCGATGTTTTGTCGCGGTATTTCCCTGGAACGGTACCGAAAGTAACGCGGCTCATATGTGGAACCGGTATTTTCATCACTTTGTCATCATAATTTGCCATTAAATACATGCAAACATTGTTTTATTACATCAAATTGCATTCGTTTTTCAATTTGAAAATATTATAAGCTTTAAAAAATTGATGTTATCGTTTTTCTGCAGCCTTTTTAGAGCTGGGGCCCTTAATTCTCCTGGAGCCAGGGCCCATCAGATCCCTACGTAAAGACGGCACTGCTGATGAGTAACATATTTATATCTATATCGATTTTTATTATAATTATTACAGTATACAGAGTGTCTCAGGCTGAGCGTGCATTAGAAGTTTTTAGAGAACCACAATATCTAGATCGAAGTTTTTCTGTACATTATTGTTTATTAACAAGATCTATCGATTAAAAATATTTTCAACATGGCGACACTTCCGGAAATACCGGAATTTGACAGAAAATTTCTTATTTTAAATGGTGTAAATATAAAAAGTGGATTTCCATTTGAAAAAAAATGATTTATGATAATTTTTTAATCGCTCAATTCCATGACATCTGCTGCAGCCATTATTATATGACATTCAGACTACTTAATTTTTGGCATAGATAGCCACATGTATTCTCTTTATGGTACAGTGGCTGTGGCAATCACTAAATTTGACGTTTAGGCTATATATATATATTTGACAGGCAGTTTTTTCCTCCAAAAATTATAAATATTTCTTTTGCTCAAAAACGGTTAACGTTAGGTTAGAGTGTTTAATATCAAAATCCATAAAAATGAATTTTGATATTAAACACTCTATACCTAACGTTAACCGTTTTTTCAACCATATAGCCTAAACGTCAAATTTAGTGATTGCCACAGCCACTGTATCATAAAAAAAAGACATGTGGCTATCTGTGTCAAAAATTAAATTGTCTGAATTTTATATAACAATGGCCGCAGCTGTCATGGAATTGAGGGATTAAAAAATTACCATAAATCAATTTTTTTGGAATAACGAATCGACTCATTGTTTGTTGTTTACCGTAGGTGTAGTAATAGCCGAGTTATCACTCTGTAAACTTGATTCTTTATTTTTCGAAAACTAAATTGCAACCTTTTACCGTAAAATAATGGCGAAAGAACACATTTTTCGAAGAAAATGAATATGACCGTTTTTAAAGAGCTTAAAAGACCTTTTAAATGTCTTTTTTTAAAGGTCTTCTCAAGTTTGTAGCTCAAAAACTCGCGGAGTTATGAAAAAAATAAAATGGTCACCTAATTTTTTCGTAATAAAAATAACAACAAAATCTATGACTAAAATCAATTGGTAGAAAATTACATGAGCTACAAATTAACATCTATAGTTGAGCAGTCTTGAACTCTTCATTTTTACGAGATTTTTGGGTTTTAAATGCTCAAAGAAGGTGGTCCTTGCATGCAAGTCAAACTAAAAAAACGTAATATCTACGAAATAAAGAGATCTACAGAAAAATTGATAGAAAGAAAAAATATTGCAGAAAAAAGACCTTCAATTTTCCTCTGTTGCATTTTTTACGTATCTTGCTTACTTTTTGAGATATGTCAAAAAAATTAAAAATTTTTTAAAAAACAAAAAATATTTTTTTTCATTATTTTCAACTTTTTTCCAAATATAGGCATTCTAAACCGCTCGAACTTGCAGAGTCAATTTTTATAATTTTAGTCATAGATTTTGTTGTTAATTTTTTTCCGAACTCGAACTTGCCGAGTCAATTGTTAGTACCTCAATATAGCCAACTGTATGTACATATATTACGTTAGTTTTTATTTTTATAATTTTAGTCATAGATTTTGTTGTTCATTTTCTTCCGAAATAATGAGGTGACCATATTATTTTTATCATAACTCCGCGAGTTTTTGAGCTACGAACTTTTTTAAGAAAGCATTTAAAAGGTCTTTTCAAGCGCTTTAAAAACGGTCATATCCATTTTCATCGAAAATGTGTTCTTTCGCCATTATTTTACGGTAAAATGTGGCAATTTAGTTTTCGAAAAAAAACACGTTTTCAGAATGATAACTCGGCTATTATTACACCTACGGTAGCAACAGAAAATCGATCGTTTAGCTATTTCAAAAGCTTAATTTTTGCTTTATATGAGTTTTGCGATCAAACGCAAGGTTTTCGAGTTATTTATAAAAATTGGCAAAAAAATATGCAGTTTTAAGATGAAAAATCAACATTTTCAATCCTAAATAACTAAGAAAATATTAGTTTTCTGAAAAAATGTTATAGAACATTTTTTTGCTTAGAATTCATCCCTTTATTGATTTCTAATTAATATGGATGATTTATTTTTCACCCCCGAGAGGGGTTGGTACTCACCCCCAAGGAGAAAACACACATCGCTACTATGTAACTTTTGTTTCTCTTTTTTTCTTTGTTTCTCTTCCAAACCAAACCAAATCGGTACAGGTGTTCAGAATTCGGACCCTAAAACCCTGGCTTACTGGCCTATTAGTAACGAGGATTTAAAAGTAACGAAAATCAACATTATACTTTTTAATCTGGCAACACTGTCGTTTTCAGTTCCCACCGTCTTGGAAATGTCTTCGCTGACCGAATTAAAGAACATGAGTGTTTTATGCGTTGGCCGCTGAACGAGTTGGGGCTCCACCGTATAGCACTTGAGTATTCTAAGGTTCAGCATTAGGTTGTGTATCTTCCCAATTCTTCCAACTAACGGTATTATCAAATTTAAGCGAATACTGTCCGCGAAGGCTTTATGGATTGATTAATGATATAAGCTAATTTGTGGAACAAATTGTAAGAATCTAGATTATTGAAATAACTATTAAAAGTAGTGATGGGATCACTCGGGTGAAAAATACTCGGTCATCCGAGTATTCATATCCTCGGTATGTCTCGAGTATTTTTGTCGATCCTCGAGGATTACTCGGCACGCAACTAACATCGGGTATAGCGTACCGTCTTCGCTGCTCGCGACGATACAAGCGATTTTACGATATGCTGAAATCTTTAGCTTACTTCGGGTTTCTCTTATTACCGATTCTGAACCGTCCTAGAACTCTGATGAGTATGCGCAGAAGGAAATATGAAGACATTATTATATTTGCGCATGCGCTGCAGAGTTCTAGGACGATTCAAAATCGGTAATAACAAGAACCCGAACAAAGCTTTTTATATAGAGGACAGAGGATAACCGTTTAATAACTTGCTCCTGGGACTTGCTCGCATATCGCTCACAATAATAGTCGGTTTTCAGAGTAGTAACCTGCATTTTTGAACAGAAATACATTACTTATTTTTGTTGTGTTTAGATGGGATATATTAATTATAATATTTATTTAAATTATAAAGATTTTTTCTCCAAACTTTATATTTTAAGATTTATAGTTTTTTAACCATTGATATAATAATAAAATGTGTTTTTATCTGTGGGGTTAAATAAAATTTTATTAGTTAATATTTTTCTATTATGAATAACTTATGAGTAACTCTGACAATTTTTTTTTCGATTATTAGTTTAGCTGTGCCCAAACAATACAGTTGGTAAATTCAATTTTAAAACTGTATATTATGTCGCACAAAAACTTAAAATATGCACAATAACACAATACTACTACAATTTATTAGGTACTACAGTTTATTTTCGGTGAAACTGCGCTATTAAAGAGTAAAACAAAACACAAAATTTCTATTTTATCTCAATGACCGACCGCCGACAAAACAAGAAATAACGAGCCCTTTTTAAAAAGCCCCACGTATTTCCTAGAATTACTTGGTTTCATTTGGCCTGAAAGTGTGCTGAAAGGTTGCCAGATTAGCCTCAAAGTCGGAGTTAAAGAAACGAAATCAGCACAATTTAAAGCAAAACCTATCAAAATTTTATTTCCCACATGAAATTATACACGAACATATTAAAAATTATTAAAAAAGTGTTTAAAATAATTAGTATTGATTTTTATTACAATATTATTTAAGTCATTCAAGTACATGGCAATAGTGTGTTAAAAACAGCAAGCAAAATCACAGCGGCGAGTATTATTCAAGTTTCGATCGAGATATTATACAGAGAAAATTTTATGACCGAGGATTCCTCGGATGATCATCCGATTATTGGAATCCTCGAGGATCAATACTCGAGGATTGAATTCATCCGATTTTTTCCAACACTAATTAAAAGTATCTTAACTCGGTAATTTTGTGAAACTAAATTTTACAAAGGGTATATTATTATCCACAAACTAACTTATGTAATTAATATAACTCAGTCAGTGCTAAGTGATTTTTTGTCATAAATAATGAATCTCTGTACAGGGTGTCTCAAATTCCAGGCTCATTTGGGATTTCAGAAACTAGACGCAGAGATTATGATCATTGTTAAATTGGAGCAAATTTGCGTAATTTGACGATGATTCAGCTTAAAATAATATTGAAATTGTAAAGTTTTATCCGAACAGCCAGATTAGTAATTTAAAAAATATATTTTTCTTAACTTTGTATTCGTGTTTTACACACAAAAAATGGATAGAATTATTTTTATGGTTTCCAAGACCCACTATGGCATTTTGTGCGATAGTGGTTGCATTGATAAAACCGAAATATTTCACTATGGTTCACGTAATGTTTAAAATCGCAAGAAAAAAAAATCTTTCAAAAAACTTAAAATATGCAGGATGTTCGATTATAAAAAAACTAAAGTTATTAACATTTCTTTACATTCTGATCGCCTTTTGTTTATTTTTATAATTTCTAACGGTTCTGATAAAACCTTACAATTCCTACATTTAAAGTTTTATACTAGCTCCAATAGGTAAACCTGCAGACATCCTGCAAGTAACTGACTACATATCTCTGAAAACCCTCTATATGTCTTACAAGAAAACTAATTTTATTTCAAGTATTCCTTCGATCTTTTTTATTTATTGTTGTTATAATTCCTCTGCTCGTATTTACTTTCTAACAATTTTCGCTAATTGAAATATTGAAATAATACACTATGTTAAATTCATGATATTTATTTCTTACAGCTTTTTATTATAAATTTCAATAATAGTTTCATTAATAGTCACTATGCGCTGATGCGTTGATTTGATGCGTCGATGTATCCATGCACGCAATAATAATATAAACAATATGATCGAAAAAAAAATGACATCAGCGATGGCTATAAAATGTGAACATCGTTGTCATTTTATATGTAAAATTGTATGGAGAATGTTATCGATGTTCATTTCCAAGCCAACTGGATGCCGTTTTTTTCGATCG